TTGAAACCCCAAGAGGTCATTTTTAAAATTTGGCTATAACATTGTGAATTTCAGTCATTTTAGATCAAACTGAGTTGCTACAAATGTGTGAGTGTGTGTATGGGTGTATATTAACCAAAGATTATCATGGATCTTCTGCTGCAGTAATATATGCCTAGATGATAATCTGGTGCACAACTTTTGATACACAGTGCATCTAAACAGATTTGGCTTTCTGCTTTCCTTGCAGGCTTTGGGTGCATTTTGCATGTTTGTGTTTCATATCTTTCTATGGACTGTATCTATTGTATAAGGTACGTTTTGAAGTTTGATATCTACAGAGTTCATGTCCATGTCATTTGTACAAGTTGTAAGGTAACAGGTGCTTTTATGCATCCTTCCATCTACAGGAATACGATGAAATTTTGACCAGAAGGATTCAACAAGTTCACAAGATAAAGAATAGACCTGATCAGTTTACCATTGTAGTCCGTGAAATTCCCTTGTGTGTCGAACATAAGGCACGTGGGTGTTTTGTTGATCACTTCTTCTCCAAGCACCATCCCTATACATACCACTCGAATCAAATGATATATGCCGCAGAAGATCTTCAAGCGTTGCTGGTAAGAGATGCCCTATTGTTCAGTCTTTACTCCTGATACTCTGTCTTCTTTGTAGTGGGTGCTCTCACAGATTTTATATTATATGCAGAACCAGGCAAAATCTCTTGCAAGAAAAGTGGAGGATTTGAGAGACACTTCCAAGGGCAAGAAGCATAGGAACAAATTTTCACTCTTTGAAGCCTTGCAACACGATTCTTCTAAAGTAGCATTACTTGAGGAAAAGCTTCAAGCAATTTGTCACAAGATTCACCAGTTACAGAGTGAAGATATGCTCAAACAAAAGGTAGTTGGTCAGTGTGATGCTCACAGTTATGTTTTGCTTTGAATGAGAACATTGCAATTCATTTATTTCTCAAAGGCCAAAAAAAAAAAAAAACAAGAAGAAAAGAAAAGACAGAAAAGAATTGTTAATAGACGTGGTGTTATAGGGTGAATTGTTTCACGTGTTAGGAGTTGCCAGTTGCTTTTGTCTCATTCAAGACCCGCTCAGGTGCTGCGGTAGCAGCTCAGTTGATGCAGCACTCGCATCCACTTCTTTTGATTACTGAAATGGCTCCAGAGCCAAGGGATGTTTCATGGAGGAATATGAAAATACCATATAGAGCGGTGCCACTTTACAGACTTGGTGTTCTTATTGCAGCATCACTGCTTACAGTTTTCTTTATCATCCCTGTTACTGCTGTGCAAGGCTTAGCCAAATATGAGAAACTCAAAAAATGGTTTCCTCCAGTCATGGCTGTGCAGTTAATGTAAGATTCTTTCCCTTGGATATGCTATTTTGGCATCCTGTAATATCTTGTCTTATTTTCTTCTTCCATTATGTTCTAGCATAGAAAGTTTAGGAACAAGACTGAGAATGATAATTTCTCGTGCCATTTGCCAGGCCCTAGAAACCTTCAATTGGGTTTATTTTGAATCATCAACCAAACACATAGAAAAGATAACTACCGAGTCATTAAAACTATTAATACGAGTCTCTCAAGGAAATCTCTTACTTTTTTTCAAATTAAATTTCTTCCCCCAAATTTTTTGTGGTTTTATTCATTTTCTACAGGCTCTCGTATGATGTAGACCCAACATAGACAAAAGTATTGATAAGGGGACTATAAATCAAATGAATCTAAATCACTTCTGAGTTTGGATCCATTTGGTTTAACTTGCTTCTCATTATATATCTGATTGAATGGCTCTGCAACTCTTTCCAATTATGTATCCGTTTTCTATGTTAAATTTCGCTCATCACCCCAAGCTTAGACGCTGCCCGATGCCATATGAGCTATCTCATAGGCCATGTAAGCCCAAACTTCATAATAATGGTTATTCTCATTACATAAAGGATTTTAACTATAATTTTTTTAATAACCATTAACAATGAGACAGGAAATCAAAAGATTTTTTACTTAGCACTGCATCTATTTATCTCTCACTTCTTATGTTCTCATTGGTGTCTTAATCAATGGCTTCATCTGAAATAAAATATTTATTTACTTATCCTGTTCTGACACATAACATTTATTATTCTTCAGACCAGGATTAAGCTCAGTAGTGACAGGGTATCTTCCTAGTGTTGTACTCAAAGGATTCATATATGTTGTGCCCTTCGCAATGTTTGCAATGGCTAAAGCTGCTGGATGTATTGCAAAAAGTAAGGAAGAGATCAAAGCTTGCAATATGGTTTTCTACTTTCTGGTTGGAAATGTGTTCTTCTTGAGCGTCTTGTCAGGATCTCTGCTAGATGTGCTTGGGCTATTCATCAGTCATCCTAAGAATATTCCAAGTCACCTTGCCAGGGCTGTGTCTGCCCAAGTGAGTTGGTTTTGTTTCTGCTGTTCTAAGCATATTCTGCCTTCCCTGTGTCTTGTATTTATCTCTACTTTCCACATAATGAGGCACAGTTCGAATTGTAACTTTATATATCCTGGAAGGTCGTTTCTCAATGGTGAGCCTCAGAAATTCGGGGGGAAATTCCCCTTATTGTATAATTAATCAATATAAAGGAATCCGCGCTTATGGAACTTTCCCATTTAATATCTTTAATAATTTTCCAAACAATACAAATGAAGGTATTTCAAACATTCTAAAATGATCCTCTCAAAATACCTCATCCAACTGCTATAATTGCTTATATTTGATAACCTGCAGAAGTCATGGCCTTTTCACTATCTTGTTGCAGGCAGATTTCTTCGTGACATATATATTGACAGATGGTCTGTCAGGGTTTTCTTTTGAGGTTCTCCAACCTGGCTTACTAATTTGGGATGTCATGAAGTCTTGTTTTTGTGGGTGCCGACGAGACAAACGTCCATACCTTTACTCTCTGCCCTACTTCAGAATTATTCCTTTGGTCTCTCTTTCAATACTGATTGGTATAGTGTATGCAGTTGTAGCACCATTGTTGCTCCCACTTCTTATTGGCTACTTCTGTCTAGGCTATGTTGTCTATATCAACCAGGTAAGTTTCTCAGCATCAAAAGCTCATTCATTTATCTTGTACCAAAAAGCTGTCCCTGCACATGCGCTTAGAAAGACATATTTGGGATTTGATATTTGCTGATTCCAACCACTTAATTTTTTTTATAATATAACTCTAAACTATTATGAAAAGAGTACTAAAATAGAGTTATAATATCTCGAATATGTGTTTTGCCACAGAAGTTTTGGACGTGAAATGTGGACATGTCACATGCTTGCCACTCCTAATTTTGGAGCTTGATTTTGGTTAAGAGAATGGAGGCAGCAATGATATGATTTCTATTTATTTAGTCATAGATGCTCTAATTCCATTTAAAAGACTACTTTTATTCAAAGCATTTTTTTGGAGAAAGGAACATGAACAGTTTTACTATAATTTTAGGATGCTAAAGCGACAGAATGATGACATATATAGTTTCCATCTCCTTTTATGTCTATTTAGTTAAATTTTGCAGTCATTTCATTAGTTTTAGACTTTTTAGTTATTGTTGTGTTGAAGAGATATAAATATTTTGCAGATTCAAGATGTGTATGAAACGACCTACGAGACATGTGGACAGTATTGGCCGTACATTCATCACTACATTCTTCTTGCAATCATTCTCATGCAGGTTACCATGATTGGTCTATTTGGATTGAAATTGAAGCCAGCTGCTTCCATAGCAACAGTTCCACTACTATTGTTCACTTTGATGTTTAATGAGTACTGCAAGATGCGTTTTCTTCCTTCCTTTCAACATTATTCTCTCAAGGTACACTTGACAACACCTTATGCATATTGAAGACGGCTAGAATTAGCTTATTCTGGCCAAAGCTTAGATTTACATTCAGTATTGATTTTCAAATTGTTCTCTGTCTTCATTCAGTAAATTATATTTAGGTTTCTCCATAAACTCAATTTCCCAGAAGGATGCCTCATGAGTCACTAGACTCGCTCTGCTCCTTCTAGCATCAGATGAAGTGATCTCATGTTTAGAATGCAATAACTCTGGAGGCACAATAACATAATCAACTTCTTTGTCACTATTTTTGTAATTTGGCGTGTCTCAATGGATCTTTATTTATTTGTGGGAATAGGATGCAGCCGAAAATGACGAACTTGATGAGAAGTGTGGTCTTTTGGAGGTTCACAGTGAGAATGCGATCAATGCCTATTGCCCACCAGGCTTACGACCAGTGAACTTAATGTCATCAGAGTCTAGCTCCGCACCATTAGTCTCCTCGGCATGATCTTTTTATTTTCTGAGCACCTAATGTCAACCCTTTATGCCATTGATGTCTCATTCATTCTCCAAATTCAGAAAGGATACAATTTCACAGCAAAGGTAATGCAAATGGACACTTTGATAAAATTCAATATGAAATTTATTCAAGTTTCGTTCATCAGAGCCAGATAAATCCTACATGTGTCTGGGTCTAAATCTACATGCATAGCTAATATTAATCAAGATGAGACAACAATGAATATATGGGAAATAAACTTATCAGGGGAACTGCAACATCATATCTAATGAGATGATTCGCCCTTTATGATTGTTTCCCAATAAGCATTATCCCATTGCTCTCTGTAGTTGTCTTCCATGTTTCCTATCTTTTTCATGCACTCTGCATACATGCTTTCTCTCCACTTGTCGACTGGAGGCAAGCCTGATTCTTTGGCAAGCCATTGGCTGTACCCAACCTGAAAGAAGGATTTGCAATCATGTAAAATTAATGGGATTGGAAGTTATGTCTTCCACATGACTTTTTTACTGAATAACCTATCAAATGATTATGATCTATTTTTCTGACAGAGAGTGAAATCTTTTTGAGAAGTTGGTATACAGACATGAATACCTCCTCAAAATACAAGTAATGAGTACGGTGCTTGGGAATCCCAATATTCTCCAATCGCTGATAGTATTCTTCAACATAATTCATCATCTCCTTTTCCGTAGGTATAAGGACTTTACCAGATAAAACTCGTGCCACCCACTTGGATTGTAATTCCAATTTTTGGAAGATGATAGCCTGTTCAGAGTCAATTCATTCATTTCAACAAATCATTAGCCTAATTTGGAGTGCTTTTCATTTTTTTTTTTTAAGTTGTACATTTTCATTGCTATAAATAATAACATTGCACCCACCTTCAGTTTGGCCGAACAATATGATATAGGTTGTAAGCATCAATTACTGATTAAAAGGAAATGTGAAATACATTCTTGAACAGGTTGTAAGCATAAGTAGATCAGGTCAGTAAAATACAGGTGAACCGAACAACTATAAGCACACGTGTAAGCATCGCTAGCACAGTTTTCAGAGGGATCCTAGATTTGACAAGACCTGTCTTGAAATGATCTATGAGATTCTCATTCGCTAGACCTATCTCTTCGTATGCATTAAATTATACGCAGAGGAAGTTCCAAAAAAAACAAGCTATTTCTTATCAGATACACCATTGTTTTGTTAAGAATGTTCCCCGTATCTTCCATGAAAAATGAAAGGCATTAAAAGAACAAATTACTTTTTTTTTTGGGGGGGGGGGGGGAGGGGGGAGAAAAGGAAGAAAAAAGGTGGGAAAAAGCTACCAGTGACCTTTTCAGGTATGCCAATGAAAGAGAGCCAAGGAGCTAAAGCAGGAGGAAAGACATGCTTGTATAATGGTCCAACACGATTGCCATCAATGGTTACTATTCCATTAGTTTCAAGGAATGGATAGTTGTACTTGTATCTGAAAAATAATGCCACAAAAAAATTGACTTGGAACTTGAAATTGAACCTGTGAAATAGCTTTATTGTACATAAATACTGACCCAGTACAATAGAATATGACATCAGCAGACACAGATGATCCATCCTCAAACACAACCAAGCCATCTTCAGATACACATTTGACCTGGAAAGAAAAGTGGCCATGGAGATCAATAAGCAAAATTTGCTGATTATTCCATGTTGGAGATGAAACAACCTGTCTATTTCCTAAAATCTTATGATACCAAAGAAGAATATGTTATCTAAATATAAGGTAATTATAATTATAAATTAACTAATAAGCTATCAACGTCAATTGTTTCACATACCATGGGATGCTGCCATATATTATCATGATTTGCTAACTTCGCAGACTTCACATTTGGATTTCTTGTTGCTATGTGAACCTCCTTAGCTACTCTTGCAACGTCTCTTGAGATATCAAAGGCACTGGGTCCAAATCCAATTACGACCACGCTCTGTTAGGAGGAGATTATTTTGCAATGAATTATCAGTACATATGCATCCATTATCTAGTTAAACTATGCTGTAAAATAACCAAATAAATAACTATGCGTATATAGCATCAGTGAGTGCTTTCATTAATGAACCAACATATTAATGGGATTTTTAAAAAAAAAAAAAAAGGGAACAGTGAAGATCTGGATGGAATATATGGCATACAGAATGACAAAATGAAATGAAATAAATCAGCTCATTAAAAGTCCAAGAATGAAGTGTAATATATGAAATCAGCTCGAAAGATTATAGAATCATCCTCCAATTTTCACTTCACAGTCCGAGTTACCAAGGCACCTAATCTCCTGGACTATGTTGTCTGAATTCTCAACCTTCAATTTCAGGAGGCCAAGCCAGACTGCATCAGACACTATTTGAGATAAATAATGACCTAATTGGATTCCAATCTTAAGATAATTTTAAAAAAAAATTCAAAAAAAAAAAACACTCTGCCGGGATGGGAATTGAGGTTTAAAAATTTAGAATATCAAAATAAATCAAATACAATAGAATAGATTTTGATATTGGTTTCATGATCAGGATTAAAAAATAGCATAGGAACCATGATGACATATTTTACACTGCAAAATTACTAGTAAATGATCAAGATGCGAGTGGGTCACAAGTGTATTAGTGGGGAGAACAAAAAAGAAGCCACTTTCTTAAACTTCTAAAGTCTTCTTCAAGCTTCGTAGTCTCATTCTACTTCCGGTTCTAATATAAGAGTTAGTTGACTAATTTGAGAAGATTAAAAAAAATAAGTTAATTATTTGTAACAAATAGGTATTGTCTTTCTTAAAATATCCTTATTAATAAAGTGTATTGATTAGAATTACCATTATTAGAAGGACTATCTTAGAAGAAAAAAATACATAAATATGAAAGACAAAGTGAATTGAGATTTCACATTTAGGACTAAAATAAAAATCAAACAAAGTTTTATATTAAAATGGGGAGGTAGTATAAGCTAAAGAAACTTTTTAGGGAGAATTGCAATTAGGTCCCACTCAAGGGAATTAAATACATAAAAGTCCCTTGAAATTATGAAATTATTCTGAAGTCCCAATGGACCTTTTTGCAATAAATTTTATTTGTTTAATTACCAAATTACCCTTCTTCTTTTTTTAAAAAATTTGTATTGACAATTGAAATAGCAGTGGTTGACAACTCATGGTGCAAGGATTGACAAGTATCGCGGCTGGTTTGACAATTTAGGGTGTGATATGTTGAGAAAATGTGTTGTCAAACCAGCAGTGATAGTTGTCAATCCTTGCACCCTGAGTTGTCAACCACTGCTCTTTCAGTTGTCAATGCAAACTTAAAAAAAAAAAAGAAGGGCAATTTTGTAAGTAAACAAATAAAATTTAATATAAAAATTTTTTGGGACTTTAAAATAATTTCATGATTTTAAAAACCTTTTTGTATTTAATTCCCTTATGTGGGACCTAATTGCCATTTTCCCAACTTTTTAATCAATACAGATTCTGAGCCGAGGAATCAACGTCGTGGCAGTTAGGAATCGATACAGATTCTGATACGACGCTGGCGGGGGTAAAAAAAGAGATACAGATTCCGATACCAATTGAGTGGATTATTTCAGTCAACATGCACTTTCGCGTTCCGTTGATCAATTGCTAACTAACGGATAACATGGATAGTGTAATAAAAGAGGGAAAAAATGTTAGGGCCTATTTGGTTCAATTTTTTATGAAAAAATCAGTTTTAAGAAATTTTAAAATGACTGGTTAAACTTTTAAAAATAATCGGAATCTGAATCTTAAGAATTCTGATCATCTTAAGAATTTATTTTAAATAGCTTGTGAGATGTAAAAAGACGTTTAGGATCATAACCAAATGCAATTAACTTCTAATTTTCGTAATAAATCATTTTTTACTCATATTAAATATTACTTAATCTGGGACCCCAAAAAAAAATTACCATTTTATGATTTTAATATTAACTCTTTCATTTGCAGACATGCGAGTGTTCCTTCTTCTTCTTCTTTTTTGCGGGAAGATATGCAAGTTTATCACTTGGAATTTGGAAAGGATAGATTTCAGAGTACCTGATTGCGAAATGGTTCGGGTACCCTGTAGTTGTGGCTGTGAATCTGAAATCCTGGCCACTTCTCAATACCTAAATCAAATCACTCACGGAAACGTAAAACCCATTAATCAACTCAACTTTTTGCAGAGATGAGCTTTTGAATTGGTTATTTGGTTTGACCCATGCATTTCATTATTAAACCATTTCTCACTCAATATTCAATCTAGAATCAATAGACCAATCGAATGCTCTACCTGGAATTTGAGCTATTCTTGGTTCTGTGAAGTGACCCGAGCACACAACAACTGCTTGAAAAAAGTCCTGAAACAAAGAATCGCCGCCGCCGCCGCCACGACTCTTCGATTGAATGACCCACTTGTCATTCCTCCCATCCACTCGCTCGATCCGAAGCACTTCTCTGTTGAATCGAATCAGCTCACGAATCCCAAAGTCATCAGCGAACTTGTTCAGAAACCAGAGCACCTCTTCGTGACCAGGAAAAGTTCGCGGGTCCCCGTTCTCGCGATTCTCGGGAAACGGATAGTCCAGAAAACCCATCAATTGTCTGGGAAGATTGGTGCGTAACGAGAGGTAGAGGCTACTGTGGACGACTTCCCGTGTTGGGTCCGTGCCAATTGGATCGGACTCCGTTAGCGGATCGTATTTCCATGTACCTCCGATTTGATCGCTTTTCTCGAAGACGACGACCGTGTGGCCTTCACGCATAAGCTCGCGGGCGGCGCAGAGACCAGCAGCGCCGGCTCCGATTACGGCGACATGCACGGATTGGACCATCTCTGGAGTTTAGTGCGCAATGATGGAGCTTAGAGACGAGAACGAGGCAGAGAATCCATTGGGGCCTTTTGATGATTCTCATTTAAAGAGAATGAATGGGGAGCCTTTTGGTTTGGTGAAACTGACAAAGAAGAAGACAAAAACGATGATTGTGCCTGGAATTCTATGGACTCCATGGCTGACCGGTGATAGTCCACAAGCGAAGCTTCGCTATAATGAACCGGCTATATTATACATTTGATACTATTAATGATTATCAATCATTCATAGAAGTTCATGCAATAACTGGACTTCTTGGGTGCATGCCGCTTAATTGAGGGATATGAGGGGAAATAGCGGACGGGAAATGAAAAGAAAAGAAAATACTCCCTCAGTTCTATTATATAAATTATATAAAACCTTTATACACGCTAATATATAAGAGTTTTATATTTAAGACGGAAGAAGTATCAGAAAAGAAGTGAAATTACTTAGGGAGAATAAAAAAAACTTTGAATTTTAAAATTTAAATTAGTGTTATTTACTATACTTTAAAAGTAATTAACAATATTTAAAAAACATATGAAACACATTTTTGTAATCATTCTTAGTTTGAGATTTTAAAATTTAGAAGTATTTTTTTAGGATTTTATATGTAGTGTTGTTTTGATACTTAATAGTCAAAAAGAAGACAACTTGTCTTAAAACAATTATATTTTTATAAATAAATTTATGTTTTAAATTTCATGGGTTAAAAATAATAGTAATAAAATTGAAAAAAATATTTATTTATTTATTGTAATGCTATCCGTTAATTATATGATTTATATATATTACCTTCTCTTCTAAGTATAAGAGCTAGTTGACTAATTTGAGTAGATTAAATAAATAAGTTAAATTAGTTATTTATAATAAATAAGTGTTGTCTGTCCTAAAATATCCTTATTAATCAAGTTTATTAGCTAGAATTGCTATTATTAAAAGAAGTATCGTGAGGAAAAAAAATTGATAAATATGAGAGACAATATGGATTAGAATCTTATATTTATGACTAAAATAAAAGTCAAACAAGATCTTATAATATAAGAAATAGTTTGCTCAATATGATTTTTCCTAAGTAAATTCAGCCATTTCAGGAAGGTGAAAAATTTGCTCCTTAACAAAAAATGCTGGGATGAGGCCATTTGAGCTCAGGCTCATTTGCTTAAATTAAAATTCCAAAATGATATTAAAATACTTTTAAGTAATAAATTTATTATTTTTGTTGCTTATTACACTCAAGTCTCCCCATGTATGAGATAACTTGAAATTCTGTTACCTCGATCACAAAGTGTAACTGTAGAGAAAATACTCGACTCATCGAAAGAAAACTACGAATTTCAGGTTGTGTGCGCACATAGGTCAATAAACAGAACATAGACCTTATCAATAATTTTGTATTTTAGTGATATGAAATCTTATGTGTAAATAAGAGATTGCAAATTTGATTTCGCTTATAACATCGTATCATTGGCTTCTCACATTTTAGTTTAAAAAACAAAAGAACATAGACTTTTTCAAAAAAGTACTTGTGGTGTGATTTGATAAGAATAGAGAATGAAATCAATTTCGCTTTTGCCATAGACTAAAACCCTAAATTACACGATAGCCATCAGTGACTTTGGAAAATTTGACAATGGTCAATGGCTCCTGGAAGTATTTATGCCTCATAGGAGTGTTTAATCATGTCTTGTTCTAACATCACGTCTCTGTCCTAATTATTTTCAGAATGAAACATGACAAAAGTGAAATAAGACAAAAACATTTCAAGACGAAACAAGATATAAGATAAAACTATCATATCCTTTTTTTTTTTTCAATTTTTATGAATTTATTTGATTTATCACTGTATTAGAATTAATATAATAATATTTACCAATTGTTATTTTGATTTTTTGTTTATAAGTTGTTATGTATGAGTTACATGAATTTTTTTAAATGAATATTTTAAGTTTGTTTGTTTTTTGTTTCTCAAGATTATAAAAAACATTTTCTTCCTTGCCTATTTTTAATTACTGCCAATTTTCCTTTTTTTATCTATTTTTTATATTTTTTATTATAAGTCCTTATACTTTATGTATAGTTAGTTTTTAAATTAAAAAAATTAAAGAAATTTAAAAAAAAATGATGGGACATTTCTAAATAAGATATGGAATGAAAAAACCGTCCTGTCTTAATTATTGCTACAGGGTCGTGCTTGCCTTGTCCTATCTTATACCATAAACACTCATAACGCCAGGATTTTATTCATATGCAGGTTGAGTTAAGGGGTATTTATGCATTGTTTGGTGTTTTTTGAATCGAAACTCAAGAAGTGGAAATTATAGGATCTGAAAATTACAGCCGAAGTTACGGATTGGCCACTCCAGTTCAACACATATAAGTCAATTTATTAGTTTTTTTTTTCCCAGAATCATTAACTACTAATAATGTACTTTTATTGATCCGCCCAAATAATATTAAGAATGAACATCAATACTAACTAATTAATAAATAACATATCATTACAGCCATTAATTTTCTTTTCCATAAACTGGGCTCTAAATAATGGCAAACTAAGTACTATCTCCGTTCCTCATTCTAAAAGCCTGTTTAACTTTTAATTTTGTTATAAATATAAGACCCCAATTCATTTTATCTTTCATATATTTATTTCAAAGTAGTCCTTTTAATAGTTATACATATTAAAAATTTCACTAAATGATTAATTCTAACTAATATATATATAATTAGCAAGAGTATTTTGAGAAAGACAACAATTATTTTTTTAATCTCTCCAAATTAATCAATTAGATCTTTTATTAAAAATAAGAAGGAGTAACAGAGTTTTAGGATGAAGAGTGAATGATGGAATCCAAAGCGTAACATGTAACATTGTCACTAAAACAACTTAATTATCATTAAATAACAACAATAAAACTTAAATAATCATGATCAGGGTCAACAGCTACTTGTCCCAACAGCAATACCGCTCTTCCTGTTCGGTTAAGCTCCCGATTCAAGCTTTATATTGAAATTTTTGTGTGCATGTGCATGTTAATTATATTAAATAAAAAATAACCATCATTGGGTTTTTTAATTATATTTTAAATAGAACTTTTGTTGGGTAAAGGATTAGAGAATTGTAATGTCATTGATAAAGCAAATGATGGGCAAAGCCACACTTAAGTCATACGATTGTCCTTTCTCTCTTGCAGGCAATAGTCATGCGGCAAGCAACATAAAGATGGAATAATAAAAAATAAAAAAAAGAGTTTTCTTTTTAAAAAAAGAGTGATCAGTGATGTATGAATGGAAAATTTCATAGAACAGGGTCTAATATGTTGTTATGAACTAGAAGAAAAAAATAATAATCATACATGCTATGAGGAGTTTTTCATGGGGGGAAGAAATGAAGAATTTTCAATGCATATAATTAAAAATGATATCCTAAGAAAATCAACACACATCCCTTATAAATCATTAATCAAACTATTTTTTTAATTAATTTTTGTAAATTAACTATCGATTTTCAAAATAGTACATACCTGATGGGGACGAAGGAAGTGAGTGCGATGTTTGGGGATTTGGTTCTCTTTTAAGAATTGATAGAATTTCTGAACAGAATCCATCATTTCCTCTATTGAGGGTAATTTAACCTTTCCAGATAACACTTTTGCAACCCATTTGCTCTGCAATTCAAATATATGAAATGCAGGACCCTACATTATATGCCTTTGTTTTGTTAGAGATTATATCCTTGTTAAAAATAGTACGTTTTAGGAAAAGAAAATTAACTTCTTATCGTATTTTAAATCAAGTCTCTATGATCTTGTTAGAGATTAGTAATATCCACTAAATTCAACTCCTGTAAGTTTTTAACACACCGTTTTTATGCATTCATAAATAAAATTTCACAAAATCTATAAATTAAAATTATCAGATCAAATAATAAATCCTAATTTAAACAAAATAAACTACAGGATGTGATTGAAAATTAAGATTATAAAGAGCAGATTAATTTTCTTCTTTTTTTGATAAAATTTAAAAATTTTGTAGATTTACCTAATAGGAGAGGAAGTTCGATACAATAATTATGCTAATTCGATCCTTTGACCCTCAAGAACCTGGTAATAAATAGTTATAAATATCTCCAAAAGTGTTTTTTTTTTCCCGGTTGATTCGTGAGGCATGTTTTGGTCTAGTGAGATCCTTGAAGACTTAATATTCATCCACAAATTTCAAATGTTTCATAAGCTAGTTATTTTATAAGTCAATTTATTATATTTTTTCCAGAATCATTATTAATAATGTACTTATGCTAATCCACTAAAAATAAAATTAAGACTGAACATCAATAGTAACTAATTAATAAAAAATAAATAACATATCATTGCAGTTAACCTAAGCCTATTATATTTTCAAACCCTCGTTTAAAAATTCAAAGGCTGAATTTGAAACTTAAAACTTGTTTGTTTTTAATCTCTCTAAACTCACGTTCGAGCAAACGCAACTCCAAAATTAAATCATTTCTTTATGTTGAATATGATGAGCCAGACTACAAACGTTCTGCGAAATGGGTTCTGAACAATGGCAAAATAAGTATTAGGGTTTTAAGGAGGAAGAAGAAGAGCGACTAATGGAATCCCAATAAGCATCGTCCCAGTGGTCAATGTAGAAGCGTTGCATTTCCAGGAATTTCTTGATGATCTCACTGAACATCTCCTCTCTCCATTCCTCCAATGCACCAAACCCACTTTCCTCTGCTAGCCAGTACTTGTAATCCACCTGCATGTTCATCAATTTCAGTTCCAAATAAGAATTAAAATACAAGGACGCCGTGCAATACATGTATTGCTTCTGTGGAATGACGATCAAAGCCCTCAAAAGCATATTTTCAACTAAGGTTTACACTATACAAGGTTCTCCCCTGATCCTATTTATAGAGTACAGAAAGAAGATATTTTTTAATTCTATTTATAACTTACCGAGAAAATTTTTTTGTGTAAATATACAATTTTACTCTTTATTTATTATTGTGTTGACTTTGTTTATATGAAATATAATATACATTGAATAGGGATAAAGTTGAAAACTTATTGAATTTTAAATGAGAGTTAATGAAGTTTAATTTTTTTGGGTCTATATGAAACATGCTAAAAGTTACTTATAAATATAACCAGAAAAGTAATTTGTGAGAAGAATTTTGTTTCGACTTGCATGAATATACTTATAATAAGCTTCAAACAAGCATGTAATACATCCTACTTAAAAGCTATTTAGATTAGTAAAACAAATGTTTCTACGCTTCAGACAAAACTCTCTTCACATATGTATTTTATTGTTTTTAGGACCAAAGGTAGTATGAAGTAAATTCTAACCGTTCAATGAACACCTATGAGGTAATTTGAAACAATCTTATGTACCTGATGGGGACGAAGGAAGTGAGTGTGATGTTTGGAGATTTGGTTCTGTTCTAAGAACTCATAGAAGTTTTGAACAGAATCCATCATCTCCTGTGTTGAAGGCAATGCAACTTTTCCAGATAATACTTTTGCGATCCACTTGCTCTGCAATTCAAATATATGAAATGCGGGATCCTGCATTCTCATCCAATCAGAGCAAGAGATAGGGGAAAAGAAAAATCAAATTTTGGAGTCTGCAACTTAAAAAATACTCCTCCTGTCATTAGTATAAGATTTATTTACCTAATTTGATTAGATTAAGAAAGTTAGGTAAGTTAGTTAATTATAAAAAATATAACATGTTTTACCTAATAGTACCATAATCATTTTTCTTAATATCATTTCTCCCTCACTTGCTTGATTATTGTTAAGGGAGTATCCATAGGAGTAATTAAAAATAAATTAATAAATATAATAAATAGATCTTACATTTAGAATTAAAATTAAATTAACAATTAGTTTATATATTAAGGACCGAAAGAGTAGATCTTTTTCCTGATCATAAACAGCATCTTTTTTTTTTTCAATTTAAAGTTTTGAAAATAAAATAATGTAAAAATTAATATTCTTGTCCTTACAATTTTAACTCTATTGTAATTCAGTCTCTAAACTTAAATTCGATACAATTTAATTGCTATAGTTTTGATTTGGATATAAATTAGTGTATATAATTTTAACCATTTAAAACTTTAGTCATTTGGACTAATTTAATGTTTAGATACTAACTTACAATTGAGTAAAAATTACGAGAATTTAATTCTACCGGTCAAAGTTTAAGAATTGAGTTATAATTAAGTAAGAATTGTAGGAACAAAAGATTAATTTTTTGTCCTTAAATAATTTGGACAAGAAAATATAATAAAACGGGTTACCACTAACATGAGAAGTTAAGCCAACGAAAGAGAGGGAAGGAGCTAACGAAGGAGGGAACACATGCTTGTAAAGTGGTCCAACTCTATCATCCTCAACATTTACTATCCCTTTGGTCTCCAGAAATGGAATATGATATTTATATCTGTCATTTCATATTTTTTAAAAAAAATTGATGAGTGTCAGCTGAATTTGCAATTAACAAAAAGATTTTTAGAAAAAAAAAATGTATAAAAATCATTATATTGTAATACCCGGTACAGTGGATAATGGAATCTGCATAAACAGAGGATCCATCTTCAAAGGCAACCAATCCATCTTCATAAACGCATTTTATCTGCCAAAAAGGAAAAAGTCTTTTGATCTCTCCACTTAATTTAGCCCCAAATTTTTAATTCTCCACATCCAAGATACCACTATTTTATAATAAATCATTATTTATTTTATATATTCATAGCCAAATCCATTTAATTATTAAATTATAGATTAAAAATTCATTTTTTATTTTATATATTCATCATTATATTTTTTCATATTACTCCCTCCATGCTTTTTATACGAAACAATTTATTTCATGGTGGTATTTTTAAATATAAGAAACAAATTCTCTTCATCCAAAATTTTAAACTAATTTATTCACTTTTACTTCCATTAAGTATATGTCACTCATTATGTTTTTATAATAAATTTCAGTTCAGTATCTCTCATGTCATCTTTTTATACATAGGCCGGGTATAGTTGAAAAATATATATATACACACTTTAAACATTTATTAATTTTAACTAAATATAATGAACATTTCAAACTGTATGAATTTAGTAGATGTTTCTTATAATAAAGTACAAGTAATATGTAATTATTATAAAGTGTATATATATTTTTTGATTTTATACAATTCAGACACGCAATTCACACGAGAAAATATGAAAGGGTGGGTACCGTGGAGTGGTGGCTTATGTTTTGAAAGTCTTGCAGCTTCACCACATTCTTAAGCATTGGATTCATTCGAACGGCTATATGAACTTCTGTCGCCACTTTCCCAATGTCTTTTGATATGTCAAACCCACTTGGTCCCAGTCCTATCATCACCACCACCTGCTTTTTTGTTTTTCCCCATTAAATTTTCTTCCAAAAAATTAGCATTAATTATCAATCATTAAATAAATCCCAGAACCCATGGGAAGAGAGTCATAGTATTCCTATTTTGAAAAATCATAGAGATTTATCTTTCATGTTGAATAATCACCCAAGTTATTTTCAAAATTTAAAGCATATTCTCAAATGGTAAGATAAGAAGGAGAAATTCTTACCTTTGTGCCACCAGCTATTGCAAAACTACTTGACATAATTCATGGTCTACACCTTTATTAGGACAGAGGCTACCGGAATATAGCGATATATACAAACTATATAAAAGCCTTAACTATACTACAAGATGTGAACAGATACATCCTTTCAAAGATATTGTTGATGATGTTAGACTTTTGCTTCACAAGAATTGAAAGGTTGTGCCAATTCATATTTTTAGAGAGTCAATCCCTATTATTGATTATCTAGCTAAGTTCTCTCATTTCATAAAGACCAATTTTTGTATCCTAAATCAACTGCCTCATATTGTGGAAGAGGAGGTTGAGAGAGGAAACTAGGGCTTGTTTTGTATTGGTGTTATTTTGTAAGGAACTCAATCTTTGATTTTTTTTTTTAAAAAAAGGAGAAATTCAGAAGTTCTGCGTTTAAATATTTTCCACCAAAATTTTAATTTTGACAGATTTTTTATTTGGGTTAATGCAAATTTTTGGTACTTCAAGACTTTGAGTTTTCATGAATTTTGATTTTAGTGTTTCGAATTTTAACCCTTAGATTTTAGTTCTTTTTTTTTTTTGGTTACATGAGGGGCGGGATCGAACCCGCACATTACCAACACACGCACACACTAGGTGCCACACCGCCTAGAGGCGGTTGGCTAGATTTTAGTTCTTTAGAGAGTGGAATTGTCCAAATTTTTATTAAATATTTTTTCCCAAAATTTTTTTATTAAATTTTAAAGACTAATATTTTAGGGAAAAAAATAAAGAGACAAAATCCTATAATTTAAAATTTAAGAGATTATAACCAAAACCAAAGGCAAACTAGACAATAAAAAATGTGAAGATTACCCTCGATCATAAAATATCAAAACGTGATAATACTAATTCATATTGTCTAAAATTTATCCTTCTCCTAAAGTGACTGGTCAAACTGCAGACAACTTTGACCAAGCCAAAAGACAAACTGGCACTGCAGACAATTCGTAAATTTGTTGCACAAAGAAGACCATTCGTAAATTTACTTACCTGTCCCTTAAATGGGTCGGGAACCCGATAATTGTGGCTATGCATTTGGTATCGCCTCCAGTGTTCAATACCGGGGATCTCCGCGAGCTTTGGCACTGTGGAGTGACCCGAACACACTACAACTGCTTCGAACGTTTCTCGGGTCAACGACTCGGATCCCCGCCTCCTCCACTCAACCGACCAACCCTCCTCCTTCCCTTCGCCGGCAAGCGCCACACGAGCTACCTCCGACTCGAACCGGGTCAACTCATGGATCCCGAACTCCTCCACAAAACCGTCAAGGAAACGGAGCACCTCCTCGTGACCCGGGAACGTTCTCTGATCACCGGTTTCACGCTTCACAAACGGGTAGTCTAAGTATCCCATGAGTTGTCTGGGAAGATTGGTGCGCATGGAGAGGTAGAGACTGCTGTGAATGATTTCTCGGTTCGGGTCAACGCCGAGAGGGTCGGATTCAGTTCTTGGATCGTAGGCCCAGGTGCCCCCTATGCGGTGGTTTTTCTCGAAGACGACGACTCGATGACCTTCTCGTTGGAGCTCCCGAGCTGCGACAAGGCCGGAGACTCCAGCCCCGATGACGGCAACCTTGACGGATCTAGCCATGGTGGCTATTGAGCGAGGGGGAGAGAGCGTGGACTTTTTGTTTTTCCGTGATGAAGATCGACAGGAGAAATAAAAGGAGCATGATCCGAATCTCGAATTCGTGATTCATTTGATCTTAGGTTGACTTGAATAATTCCGTTCATGTCTTTGTCGCTGGAATTAGAAAAGAAAAAAGTTCATGTCTTTGCTTTCTTGACCTCCCAGGCCTCCATGGCTCCATCGATATCTTTTTTGTTTTTAATATACTATGGTGGGTTTCAACGTATTCCTCAGGCTTTTTTGTTTTTGGATTACTTGTTCTGTTGACTTTGGTAATTTTCTTAACGGAAAATAATGGGTCTGTTTGTTTACCTATTCTGAAAACAGTTTTTAAAAAGAACCCAAAAAATGAAAAGAAAAAGTTTGATTACATGTTTCTGTGTAGGATTGCAACTCAATAATCCATAATTTTGTGTAACGTAGGCTGGTTTGTTTCTGTTCTTTTTTGTTGCCAAAATAATTATAGAAAATTATTTCTTAAAATAAGTTTTGGGAAAAAAATTTTAAAAATTACATTTGAAATAAATATGCTGAGATTAGATGGTGAAGTTTTGACGAGAAATGCCCTCAAATGAAAAAAGAAGGGAGAATAAGGGAGAAAAAATTTTAATAAACCCAATTTAAAATTTTAAAAAATTGGGTTAAAAGTTTTAATTAAATTTTCTTGCTCTTTTATCTTCAATATTCTGTTTCTTAAAATTTCAGAACCTTATTTAAATCAAACTCATTAAAATTTTTTATTCTCATCGCTTCGATTCCCTCATACTAAACATAAAATAAAAATTATTTTAAATTTTTTAGTTTTTAAAAGAACTTAGCTATAAACAAATTACCAAATAAATTTTTTATTTTTATTTTTAAAAAAGTCAACACATGTTTTTATTTTTATTTTTTTAACAAATCACTAATTTGACAAATTCTTTTTAGTTATTTTTTCTGTTACATTTAGGACCAAATGTACCTGATGGGGGCAAAGGGCATGAGTGAAGCATATAGGGATTTCATTGTCTTGCGTGAATTGATAGAAACTTTGAACAGACTCCGTCGTCTTCTCTTCTGAAGGCAACTCAGCTTTCCCAAAAAACACTCTTGCTACCCATTTGCTTTGCAATTCAGCTATATGTAATATGGAATCCTCCATACACATCCCCTCTTTCTTCATTACATTGCATCTTAATTTCTCATTCATTTTTATCTACAGTAAATTAATTTGATCTGTACAAATTTTAAAATGAGATGCATTATTTAGATATTTTAAATATAGTTTATGTTCATATATTTGTTACAGGGTCTATGCCCCATAAAATACACTCTCATGAGGAGAAGTGTAATTGACATCTTTTTATGTTTGAAATTTGGTTTGTTGACTTGATCAAACAGATAAAAAGAGGAGCTTGATCTAAAGATTATGCAGTGTATCACACATTATCCTTGGATCAAGTTTCTCTTTCGGCCATTGGATTAAGAGCTCAGGTTTATCAACACTAGATGCAACCACTGACTAGCATCTTAAAATATTTTATAATGTAATTTTGCTCTTTAAGTATTAAAATGTTAAGTGCATTTAGAAAAATACTTCACCATATTAGACGTATCTGAAAACATATTTTAGAGCGCTAAAATAACATTAACTCTTAGATTAAGCCGGTGTGAATTTGGATAGGATGATCCAAATCCTTATATCTTAAAATAGGAATCTTTTCCAGAATCATTATTAATAATGTACTTATACTAATCCACTAAAAATAAAACTAAGACTGAACATCAATAGTAACTAATTAATCAAAAATAAATAACATATCATTGCAGTTAACTAAAGCCTATTATATTTTCAAACCCTCGTTTAAAAATTCAAAGCCTGAATTTGAGCCGACGCAACTTAAAACTTGTTTGTTTTAATCTCTCTAAACTCATGTTCGAGCAAACGCAACTCCAAAATTAAATCATTTCTTTATGTTGAATATGATGAGCCAGACTACATAGGTTCTGCGAAATATTTTATAATGTAATTTTGCTCTTTAAGTATTAAAATGTTAAGTGCATTTGGAAAAATACTTCACCACATTAGACGTATCTTTTAGAGCGCTAACATAACCTTAACTCTTAGATTAAGCCGGTGTGAATTTGGATAGGATGATCCAAATCCTTATATCTTAAAATAGGAATCTTTTGAATGTAAGATAATTTGGATTAAGACAAAAAAGATTTAAAAAAAAAAAAACTTTTTAACACTAACACGAGAGATGAAGCCAATGGAAGAGGTAAGGAGCCAATACAGGGGAAACACATGCTTGTACAGTGGCCCAACTCTATTGGTCTCCACACTTGCTATCCCTCTGGTTTCAAGGACTGGATTATCATTCTCGTATCTGCCATTACACTCAACAAAATTTAAATAATTAATAGTAAACTTAAAAAGGGAGAATCCAGTTTTAAAAAAAACTTAAAATTATTAAATTCCAAATTATATTTGGTTCTCACACTTAATAGGTTTTGACAATGTTGAACTTGCAAATAACAACACATTTTTCAGAAATTTTTTATTTAAAATTTGTTACTTTAAAGTTTATCTTATTATACCCAGTGCTGGCAGTGCAGTGGAGAATGGAATCTGCATAAACAGAGGATCCATCTTCCAAGGCACCCAAGCCATCTTCATAAACGCATTTTACCTGCAAATGTTAATTATGCGAACCTCTTTTGCAACTGTTGCAATTTCTTTTGAGTCGTCAAGCCCACCTGGTCCCAGCCCTATTATCACCACCACCAAATTCATTTTATTTATTTTTCCACTTATTATTTTCTCAATCAAAACTACTTCCTTTAACATGAAATCAATATGCCAAATTACATTTAGGGACTAAATGATATATCTATTCAAGCTAAGAACGAAATTATAAATGATTAAAATTATAGTGATTGGATTACAATAAGTCAAAATTCAAAGATTGGGTTATAATCAGGTTAAAACTATTTGAACTGAGTTGCACCAAATTAAAGTGTAGGAATTAAATTACAACCGAATTAAAATTATAAACAACAAAAAAATTAATTCTTTTCCTAATTAATATCTATCTAGTCACTTAATTTTGGATGAAAAGAAAATAGAGAACAAAGGATACTAATAGGAATTAGGACATACTCTCAAAAGTAGTAAAACCCTTTTATTACTTTAAAAAGCTTTTTAAATATTCTTTCTGCAAGAGCTCACTTAAATTATTAAAATAAAATCATTAGATTTAAATTTATTTATATTTATATTTATATTTATATTTATTTTATTTTATTTTCAAAAATTAGACCCATGGCCATTTTTATATTCATGATATTATTAGAATATGAGTAATATACATTTTTTCTTAAAGTGAAAAATATATCAGCCAATATAAGAATTAAAAAGCAGATTGCCCAAATATTTTTTTCCTTATGACATATAGGGGAACAACAGATAATAATCACTAATTCATGATAATTCATAATTTTTCGTCTACCAAGACAGATAATCCATATTTCATAGGAGTAGTTTAGAATTTTAGGTTCACTTACCCGTCAGAGGGGAAAAAGATTCACTTGCCTGTCGGTGAAACAGGTTGAGCGCCCGATAATTGTGGCTGTGCATTTGGGATCTTCTCCAGTTTTGAATGCCGGGAATCTGTGCGAGCGTCGGCGATGGGTAGTAACCTGAACACAGCAATGGCATCGAACGTTTCTCGGGTCGAAGATTTGGATCCCCGACTCTTCCCCTCGACAAATCAACCGTCATTCCTTTCTTCAACCCGCTCCACCCGAACCACCTCTGTCAACTCAAGGATCCCGAACTCCTTCCCAAACCCGTCCAGAAAACGGAGCAACTCTTCATGACCCGGAAACGTTCTCCAGTCGCCGGATTCGAGCTTCACGAACGGGTGTCCATGAATCCCATGACTTGCCTGGGCAGATTGGTGCGCATGGAGAGGTAGATGCTGCTATGGACGGTTTCGCGATTTGGGTCAATGCCGAGAGGGTCGGATTCAGTTCTTGGATCATAGGCCCAGTGCCTCCGACACGTTAGTTTTTCTCGAAGACGATGACTTGGTGGCCTTCTCGTTGAAACTCCCGAGCAGCGACAAGGCTGGAAACGCCAGCTCCGATGACGGCGATCCTGACGGAGCGGGCCGTGGGAGTAACGGAGAGGAAGACAGAGCACTTTCGGTGATGAAAGGACCCGATTTGGAAAGTGGTGAGTTACTCGTCTAAGACTATTTCTAAGCTTTCATTTCAATTATTTACATAAGTATCCCATTTTTTTAATGTTTTTTTTGGGACAAACACAAGACTTTTAATGGGAAAGTGACAAATAAAAAAAAATAGTACTACTTTATGTTCTAATTATAAGATCTCGTTTGTAGAATACAAATCAAGTCTTATAACCAGGGTCAAAAGCAGTATTTCAAATTAGACACGTAACACTTCAAAATCATAGTAAAAGATATGGTGCCTGATCTAATATCTTGCAAATGTAGTTAAATGACTAAAATGTCCTTATATTAAAAAGTTTATTAACAAGTTGTGAATTGACAATAATAAGTGTTGGATAACAAATAACAAGAAACGTATTTACAAGGACAAGTTATTTATTAACAAGTTGTGAACTAACGGTAATGACAAGATATTTATTAGAAAACTGTGGATTAGTGGCAGCATTGCCGGGAAAACGGGCCGAGCCCATCGGGCCGGCCCGTTTAAGCCCGTTTAAGTCGAGGGCGGGGCTTATATTTTGGAGCCTTGAAAGGGAAGTCGGGCTTAAAAGGGCCAGCCCTGTAGGGCCGAAAAATAAACGGGCCGGCCCTGTAGGGCTGCGGGCCGGCCCGTTTAGGCCCGCCAAATTATTTTTTTTTAATTTCTATCTTTTTTTCTTAACTTAAAAAAGAAAACCCTAACATTTTAAACATATCATACTCTTAGTTTTACTTATCTTGGCAGCTCACATAGATAGCATTCACAAAAAGAAAAAAAAGAATCACTATAGCTGTGGGAAAAATAACCAAAAAAACATGAAAATTGCAAAATTTAAAACTAGGTATATTCATAAAAATATATTGTTATTTATAAGTTGTCAAAACCTATTAAAATACTGTATCTATAATTTTTACAGTCTTTATTTATCATTCTCCCATATTTTTTATACTTGAAATATAA